ACAACAACACAACAACAACAACAACAACAACAACAACAACAACAACAACAACAACAACAACAACAACAACAACAGCAACAACAACAACAACGACGACGACAACGACAACGACAACGACAACGACAACAACAACGACGACAACGACAACGACAACAACTACAACAACAACAAGCAGAATTCTCACCACGAGTTCCCTATTCAGCCACGCACCCAGGGACAACGAATGACCGTTCGGCCCACTCACTCTGAAATATTTATATATATATATATATACGTACATACAAACATGTTGAACTATATATATATATATATATATATATACAAGCATAACAGAAACATATTGGCATGCGCATGTGTGTGCGTGCAGATGTGTGTACTTACAAATGTGTGCACCTGCATATGTGGAACATATCCGCCACTGTGCCCCACGGAACGGCGTGGAGTTCAGGTCACTTTGAATTGTCCGTATTCGGTATCGTACATACGCTGGGGCCTGACTCACGAGTCAGGGGCGCTCCTGGGCGCTCCTGGGCGCTCCCGCGCGCTCTCGGATATCGAGATCCTGAGAACCAGTACTGCGGCTGCCCCCCGACTCGCTCAGAGGAACAGAAGCAGCGCTCCTCCTCCTGCTCCTTCTCCTGCTCCTCTGCGTGCTCATCATTCCCGCCCACCCCCCTCCTCCCTCCTCCTGCTGCTCCTGCTCCTCCGTTCTCACAATTCCCCGACTCCTCGCCACCTCCGTGTCCGCCGTCCTCCAGTTTGTCATCCTCCTACCATGTTTCTCACCAGCGTCCCACACCCCTCCCCTTCCATCCTCTTCCATCCCTGCTCCTGGTAGATGACTCCTCCCTGCCGCCCCCCGAGGCGTGTCGGACGGTCGGGCCGAGCCTTTCGCCTGAGATTTCCTCACCGCGTATGATCCTGAAGCTTGACCTTTCAAACATCTGCACGGATGAGTGGGGGTTAATTTTCAAAATAGGGTTCTCGCTTGAGCGCCGCGCCCAACTGTTTCAAAAGCTTGCAGCATTTACCAGGATGCAAGGGGGCACTTCTCAACATGGGGCTCTCGCCCTAGCGCCACGCAAGTTGCAAATGAAAGCTTACAGCTGGTACATGAATGGGGGGCGTACATGTTCAACATGGGATTACCGCCTTAGCGCCGCGCACATTCGTCTTGAAAGCCTGCAGAAGCTACAAGCATGGAGGGCGGCTCGGTTTCGAAAGGAGGCTCTCTCCTTAGTGCCGTGCACAATCGGCTTAGAACATTGAAGGAACTACAAACGACCAGAAGTCTGCAAAAGGATCACGACCACACGGCTGGAGAGCGGCTCTGCTTCGAAATAGGGCTCTCGCTCGGGACGTCGTTGCTTTGATGACCACGGGCGTAAGTTGTGCAGCCGTCACACGGATGGGCGGCGGCGCCTTTCCAAAATGAAGCTCCCACTGGATACCCCGCTGGACGTTCTGACCCGACCCATTCGCATTCCGCATACTTCTCTGAATATGAGGCAAGGCAGTTCCGCTGTTCAAAGCGATGCTCTCGCCTGAAAAGCAGGCCCATAGGGTGTTCGTCTTTCAAGGGGGCGCGTGTTGCAGGGCAAAGGCAGGCTTGCAGCGACACATGAGGTATCCACGATGCTGCCAACACAAAGGTGTGTTGGCAGCATCGTGGATACCTCCTGGCTGTACTATGGGCACCTCCTCCTCCTCCTCCTGCTCATCCTCCTCCTAAACTCCCTGGTTTTGGCTCAGAGTCTTCCCCTCCTCCGCATCCTCCTCCTCCCTGCACGTCGTCGTGGTCGGCGTCGTCGGTGTCGACGTCGTTCTCATCATCGTCGTCGCCGCCACCATCATGAGAATCGTCACCAGCATTATCTGCATCATCACCATCATCACCATCACCATCACCATCACCATCACCATCGGCATCATCATCAGCATCATCATCATCAGCATCATCAGCATCAGCAGTATCAGCATCATCAGCAGCAACATCACCATCATCTGCATCATGGTCAGCATCATCATTATCATCATCAGCATCAGCATCATCATCATAATGACCATCATCATCATCATCAGCATGATCATCATCATCATCATCATCATCATCATCATCATCATCATCATCATCATCATCATCATCATCATCATCGTCAGCAGCATCATCATAATCAACATCATCAGTAGCATCATCATCACCAGCATCCTGATCATTATCGTCATCAGCAGCATCATCAGCATCACCAGCATCAGCATCAGCATCACCATCCTCCTCCTCATCATCATCAGCATCAGCATCAGTATCATCATCAGCAATGTCAACATCATCATGGTCATCACCATTAACACCCTCCTCGTCTTCCTAGTCTCCCCCATCCGTATGTTTCTGTGAGTCCTCCCCCTCCTCAACCTGAATATATATATATATATGTATATACATGTATAGGTGCATATACGTGTATATGTACACATATCGCTCGTAACCATTGTCAACATGTACACAAATCGCTCGGTGTGTATGCAAACATATATATAGAGAGAGAGGTATCCAAATAACCGCCGCCCTGTCGTCATCTTTCCTCCGACTCCTCCTCCATCTCCTCCTCCGCTTCATCCTACTCCTCCACATCCGGCTCCGCCTCCTCCTTCATTGCTCATCCTACAGTCCTCCTCCACATCATCGTCACTAAAATCACCCTCATCATCCAATATCAATATCATCATCATCACCCCGTCCATATCACCATCACCATCACCATCGTCATCACCATCACCACTGCCATCCCCATCCTCACCACCGGCATAATCATCGTAAGTAGTATCCGAGTCATCTTATTGAACTCATCCTCCTCCTCGTCATCATCATCATCATCATCATCATCATCATCATCAGAGTCATCGGCATCATCATCGTCACCATCATCATCATCATCATCATCATCATCATCATCATCATAATGACCATCATCATCATCATCATCATCATCATCATCATCATCATCAGCATCATCATATATCATAATTCACATCATCATCATCATCATCATCATCATTACCGTCATCATCAACATCATCATCACCATCACAATCACCATGGACGCCACTATCACTATCGCATGTCATCCTCATCCTCAAATTCCTTGTCCGAATAAATGATCACCATCATAACCAGGTTCATCACAAACACCATCGTTGGCATCATCATCATCAGCATCAGCAGCATCATCATCACCATCATCATCATCGTCAGGATCATCATCGTCAGCATCATCATCATCATCATCATCATCATCATCATCAGTAGCATCATCATCATCATCATCATCATCATCATCATCATCATCATCATCATCATCAGCATCATGATCAGCAGCATCATCACCCCTACACTCCTCATCAGCATCATCAGCATTATGCTCAGCAGCAGCATCCTCATCAGCATCATTAGCCACAGCAGCATCATCATCAGAATTATCATCATCAGTAGCATCATCATCACCAGCATCCTGATCATCATCGTCATCATCAGCATCATCATCACCATCAGCAACATCATCAGCGTCATCATCATCATCATCATCATCATCATCATCATCATCATCATCATCATCATTATCATCATCATCATCATCAGAATCATCAGCATCAACATCATCAGCATCATCATAGCCATCAGCATCATTCATCATATCGTCAGCATCGCCATCCTCATCATCATCATCATCATCACCATCATCATCATCATCATCATCATGTTCTTCTTCTTCATCATCCTACTCCTGATCAGCAGCAGAATCAACAGCAGCAGCATTATCAGTATGGTCATCATCATCAACATTACCACTGTCAACATCATCATGCCCATCACTATCACCATTTATCCAAATAGTCATTGTCAGCCGCATCAGTATCGTCATCTTCATCATCATGTCCCTATTCATCATCATCGTCATCATCAGGTTCACGATCATCATTACCATCATGTCCATCCTCATCATCATCAGCAGCATCATCATCTGCATAATTTCACAGCATCAGAATCATCAGCATCATCATCATCACCAGCATCATCATCCTCATAATCACCATCCTCATCAACAGCATCAGCAGCATCAGCATTATCATATTAGTCATCCTCGTCACCATTACCACCAGCTTCATCACCACCACCATCATCATGATTACCAGCATCATCATCATCATCAGCATCATCATCATCACCACCACCACCACCACCATCATCATCATCATCATCATCATCATCATCATCATCATCGTATGTCGTCCCTCGCTACCCGCCCCCTTCTCCAGAGGAGGGAGACCATTCGAGCATCGAACCTCTATGATCCCTGATCCCGTGCCGGGCCCCGATCTTGGAGGACGTGGCCGCCCGGCCTGGCCAGACGCCGATGCCCACCAGAAATTGGGCCGAACGAAGGGAAGTGGTAACTCGCTAACCACCTGATGTGCTACCATGGCCTGGCCAAGGAGAGGGGGAGGGGGGGGAGGCAAAACGCCTCCTCCTCCTCCTTTTCCTCCTCCTCCTCCTCCTCCTCCTCCTCCTCCTCCTCCTCCTCCTCCTCCTCCTCTCCTGCCCCTCCTCCCTCCCTCCCTCCCTCCCTCCCTCCCCCTCCTACCCCCCCCTCCCCCCCTCCCCCCCATCCCTTCCTCCCTCCCTCTCCCCCCCTCCCCCTTCCCCCCCTCTCCCCCGTCCCCCTCCCCATCCGCATCCCCGTCCCCATCACCATTTCCATCCCCATCCCCTCCCCTCCCCTCCCCTCCCCTCCCCTCCCCATCCATCCCCATCCTTTTCTCCCTCCCTCCTTCCATCCATCCATCCTCGTCCTATTCATCCTCCCCCCCCCTCCTCCAAATTATCCCTCCTTTCGCATTATCCTCCCTCCACGTGCCGTTCATAATCCGTCTCTCTCGCAGAAGCGGCGGCGGCGACGACGACAGCGGCGGCGGCGGTGATTGCCGCTCTCTGAGTGACCCGCACGGTGCGCGCAGGCAGGCAGCTGCTCAGCTCGGAGACGGACACCAGCCAGGCGTCCGCCGCCTGCTGGCCAGAGCTGCAGCCAGCCAGTCCCCCCCTCCACCTCCTTCTCCTTCTTCCTCTTGTTGCTTTCATATAGTCTCAAGCATTCCTGATAAAAAACGAGTACCATTCATAGCATTATTGGTATTAGTATCACGAATAGTATTACTAGTGTGGCAAGTAATATTGATATGATGAATGTTATTAGCAATCGTATTAGCATTGATACGAATCGTATAATATTGTTGTTGTTGGTGTTGGTATTAGCCTCAATAGTGATGCCACTACGACTATTAATATACGTAAATATGCAATATCAGTATGTGTCGATCAAATTATTCCGACGGTAGGACCCTACATGCGAATATATTTAGTTTGTCATTCGCCCTTGTCTCCTTCGACTGGCGGAGGCCTTCCTTCCGCCCTATGCGTCTCCCTCCTCCTCATCATTCATCCTTCTCCTCCTCGTGTTCAGTCCCGTCCTACTCGTTGCATGCCTTCTCATCTTGCTCTTGCGCCTCCTCCTTCTCATCCTTTTCCTCCTCGTCCTCCGCCTCCTCCTCCTCCTCTCCCTCCCCCTCCTCCTCGTTGTATAGCTCCTCGTCGTACTTGTCTTCCTCCTCCTCCTCCTTCACCTCCCGTCCTTCTCCCCCTCCTCATCTCCGCCCCGCCTGTTATCCTCGTGCACCTCTCCCTCCTCCTGGCAGGAGAGGGCGCGTCGGTTTTCTTCGCCGCCGTCGCCGCCTCAGCCAGCACGGGAACCTTTTCCAATGGCCACATCGCGCAGCCATTGGGATAACCCCGCCTGGTACCCCCCCCCCCCATATTCGGGCCTCAGGATCCCAAAATTGACGACAGGTACAGGATGCCGATGACCCGCTCTGATTGATAACATGAGCTGCGGGCCCCATAGGGAAGGGGTTCCCGCCTGAGACTCCCTCGCCATTCACTCACAGACGAAGCTCCCGCCTGAGACCTCCGCCGTACTCAGGCCTGAAGAGGCCAAAAGTGATGACAGTTAGAAGATTCCGATGGCCCGCTCGGACTAATATCTTGATCTGCGGGCCCCATACGGAGGGGGTCCCGCCTGAGACTTCCTCGCAAATCACTCACAGACGAGGCTCCCGCATCAGATTTCCGCCATAGTCAAGCTCGAAGAGCCCATTAGTGACGACAGACCCGTTCGTATTAATAACATGGCTTGCGGGCCCCATAGGGGGCCCCCGCCTGAGACTTCCTCTAAATTCACTCACACACGAGGCTCCCGCCTTAGACCTCCGCCACACGCAAGCTTGAAGAAACCAAACATATCGACAGATACAATATTCCGATGACCCGCTCTGATTGATCACATGAGCTGCGGGGCCCAAAGGCAAGAGGTTCCCGCCTGAGACTTCCTCGCAATTCACTCGCAGACGAGGCTCCCGCCTGAGGCTTCCGCCATACCCAGTCCCCAGGAGCCCGCAAGCGATGACAATTACAGGATTCCGATGACCCGCTCGGAATAATAAAATGGGCTGAGGGAAGGGGCTCCCGCCTGAGACTTCCTCGCCAGTCACTCACAGACAAGGCTCCCGCCTGAGACTTCCGCCATACTCAACCTTGAGGAGGCCAAGAGTGACGACAGGTACAGGATTCCGATGGCCCGCTCGGATTAGTAACATGATCTGCGGGCCCCATAGGGAGGGGGCTCCCGCCTGAGAGTTCCTCGCAACTCACTCACAGACGAAGCTCCCGCCTGAGATGAGTGAGCGAGTGAATGATGAGAATGAGGATGGTTATGATAATGAAGATGGTGATGATGATGAGGATAATGAGAGTGTGAGTGACTGAGTGAGTGGGCTGGTAGGTGGGTGGTGCGCGAGTGGGTGAGTGAGTGCGTGAGTGGGAGATGATGATGAGGAGTGCGTGTGTGTGTGAGTGGGTGAGTGAGTGGGTGAGTGAATGTGTGTAGGTGAGTGAGTGCGTGAGTGAGTGTGTGTATGTGAGTGATGATGTGCGTGGGTGATTGAATGAATGGGTGTGCGATTAGAGAATAGGAGAGAATGTGTTATTGTTCCTGCGCGCGGTGCCTAGAGAAAACAATAGTCCTACTTCGGATGTGGGGAATGACGAAATTACTAGTAGTAGAAATCGTACTATCGTTGTTGATATTATTGTCATCGTTCGTATCATTGGTACTATCAGCAATAGGACGAATTGCACCGTTACTAATATAAGTAGTAGTCATAGTAGCTGTAGTAGTAGCATCACTTTTGCTATTTAACATAATACTAAAAGTGCAAGGTTCAATATCAATACTGATTTCATTCCTAACCATCGAGTGTTGGGTCATCGCGTTGACGGGACAGCGCCCTGCGTCACTCGCTCTCCTCCTTCCCCTCCTCCCTCCTCACATTCCTGCCTCTGCCCTCCGCATGCCAACCATTTTGGAAACACCCTTTTCACTGGGTTCGTAG